CAAATTTCACTTTCTTAATGAGGCTCACCTTGCCCACCCTACTTAATACTGCAGCCCACATGTCCCCTCCCCCATCACCCAGCATACCTAAACCCCTTATTCTGTTTTTTAAAAAGAGCATTTATTGTCTTCTCATATTCTATATTATTTATAAATTTTTTATGTTTGTTGATTTTTCTTTGTTGTCCCTCACTAGAAAATTAAAATCTACCAAGGGCATAGATCTTGGTACATTTTGTTTACTATTATATCACCAACAACTAGAATAATACCTGTCATATAGCAAGTGCTCAAAAATTACTTTGTATATGAATAAATAGTTTATTTCCCTGCCTATAAATTAGCGTGACAATTCATGGCCTCTTATTTTCTTGCTGAGATATGTGGGTACAAATTAGATATGTGTATGCCAAGTATATTGACTTATCTGAAAGAAAGTTGCCATTCATAAAATAATAACAATTATCAATTTATGGATGTATAAGGTGACCTAGCATTTAAGTGTTTCAAAGTTTCCGTCTTAAACAAATCTGTCATAAGTCCATGGCAGTTTCACTTATACAACATCCCTTCTATAGCAACAGAACATGTATAACATTCAGAAGTTGGCTGAACATCATACCTCATTTTTTTCTTTGAGTTTTGTGATCATAACAATCACAGGGCTGTCTTCCTGCCAAACCATCTGCCAGAAATCATTCACGGTGTTGATCATAGGGCCCTGTGTGGCAATGAATGCTTTCTCTTTGCCACTGTAGCCCTATTTGGGGTAAAAAGACAAAAATATTGGCTTTTAAGTTTATACCTTGCATTAAAAGTTTAGGTGAAAGAGCTTCAGAATAAAATAGCTGTGTAGCACATACTATGGCAGCTTCATTGATTCTATCACCACAATTCTCATGTTGTTTTTCTAGAAAGTTAAGCATAGCATAGAATATTAAGAGTTGTAATGCCAGTCCCCAGTAGAGTGTCCATGTAGGGTACTATAGCCAGGGACCCACAATGAAGGGAGACTCATTATAAAGAACTCACTACCAATGTTGATTGTGACTAAGACGAAAATAAAAAATAAAACTTTGCTAGTTACCAAGTTTAATCAAACTTAATATACTCTAGGAAAAAAATAAAAACAACAATTCCAAAGAGTAAGTCACCAGAAAGAAATTTGTATTTATTTACTTACCCTAATATAATTAGCATTAATGTAGGTGCTCAATGAATCAGTTACATTTTTTGGTCTTAAACACACTCTGCTGAGGGGATCTAATGAAGAAAACAAAAAAGAATATATTAAATAGATTTATTCTTTGTAAAGTTCCTTAGAACACCAATAACCAGTACATAGAGCACCTGCTATATGTTGATTATCTGGAGTGTGTTGATGTTTGTTTTTGGTGCATGTGTGTGTCCATGTCTTCATCCATCTGTCTTCATTGAGGGATATTTGACTCCTGTTCATGAGATAAATCTCACCATTGATTGTAAACTCTCTCAATGCCCCACTTAAAAGACATAGATTGATGGAATGGGTAGACAAAAACAACCCAAACATCTACTATCTCCAAGAAACCCATTTAACTCATAAAAAGTAGCATATACTCTGGGTACAGGGGTGGAAAAACTATTCTACTCAAATGGAAACAAAAAGCAAGCAGGAGTATCTGTTCTTATATCAGATAAAATAGACTTTAAATCAACAACAATGAAAAAAGACAAAGATGGTCATTATATAATGATAAAGGGATCAATTCAACAAGAAAATATAATAATCCTAAATATATATTCACCTAACACCAGAGCTCCCAGATTCATAAAACAAATGCTACTAGACCTAAGAAATGAAATAAACAGTAACATAACAATAATAGGGGACTTTAACACTCCCCTGACAGAACTGGAAAGATCATCGAGGCAGAAAATCAACAAAGAAACACTAGATTTAAACAGGGCTCTAGAACAAATGGACATAACAGATATTTACAGAACATTCTACTCAAAAACTGCAGAATATAAATTCATAAACTATATATCTGACAAAGGACTTATATCCAGAATCTACAAGAAATCCAAACAAATCAGCAAAAAACCCCCAAATAACCCCATTAAAAAGTTGACGAAAGACACGAACAGACATTTTTTCAAAGAAGATATGCAAATGGCCAATAAACATATGAAAAAATGTTCAGCGTCACTAATCATTAGGGAATTGCAAATTAAAACCACAATGAGATACCATCTTACCTCTGTCAACATGGCCATTACTAAAATGTCTAGAAACGATAGATGCTGATGTGGATGTGGCGAAAAGGGAACACTTACATGCTGTGGGTGGGAATGTAAACGGGTACAATCTCTATGGACAACAGTATGGAGATTATACAGTAGAACTAAAAGTAGATCTACTATTGGATCCAGCAATCCCACTATGGGGATCTACTCAAAGGGAAATAAGTTACTTTATATTAGGTTATTAATTATGGAATGTCCAATTTCCTTAAGTACTAAGTTTGACAGTTGATATCTCTGACATTTCACTTTGACACTTTGTGTGTGTGTGTGTGAAGGTACATCCTTAGACTTTCAAATGTACCTTTTGGGTTATGATTATCTTTCAGAATTTTTTTAGAGCAATTTTTGTGAAACCATGGATAAGTAAAAAATTCATGTTATTTTTGAATATGAGGTCCATTGTGGAACCAATGCAGCGCAGATAGCTCAAAATATCAACAAAGTGTTTGGGAAGGATGTGGCTAATGAATATACAGTGCGTTGATGGTCTGGGAAGTTCCGTTATGGTGATTTTAATCTTGAAAATGAGCCAGGTAGGCAACCTGAGACCAAAGTGGATATGATGAGCTTAAAGCTGTAGTGGAAGCAAATTCATCTCAACCTATGCTTGAATTAGCAGTAAGGTTTGACATTACTATTCCAATAATATTTGACCATTTGAAACAAATGGGCAAGGTAAAGAAACTGAATAGATGGGTACTGCATGAATTAAAGTGTGTCAAAAGAGAAATTTTTGTCTTGAAGTTTGCCTTTCTTTGCTGTCATGACATAAAGGCAAACCATTACTACACCGTATTGTTATGTGTGACAAAAAATGGATTCTTTTTGACAATTGCAAGCCTTCAGCACAATGGTTGGATAAAGATGAAGTGCCAAAACACAGTTCAAAACTGAATATTCATCAAAGAAGCTAATGGCGTCTTCTTGGTGGTCCAGCACTGGTATTATCCATTACAGCTTCATGAAACCTGGTCAACAGATTACAGCAGACATCTACTGCAACCAAGTGGACAAAATGATGAGAATGCTTGTGATTAAGCAGCTGAGATTGGTCAATAAAGACAGGCCAATCCTCTTGCAAGACCACATATCACACAAAACAACACTGCTCAAACTACAGAAGCTGGACTTGGGAACTCTCTGTCATCCACCGTATCCACCAGACCTTGCACCAGCTGACTACCACTTCTTCCAGGCTTTGGACCACTTCTTGCAAGGAAAAATATTTGATTCTCAACAAGTTGTGGAAAACACATTGCCACTCGCTCTCTAGGCTTTTTTGTTGCTGGCATAAACAAGCTATTGCTAAGATGGCAAAATTGTGTCGATAGTTTAGGCACATACTTTGATTAAGTGTACTTCTTCTTGTTTGAGATATAAAAAACTAAGCCTTTTATTTGAAATCAGACATTTAATAGTTAATGACCTGATAAAAAAGATACCTGCACCCATATGTTTATTGCAGCACAATTCACAATTGCAAAGATAGGGCACCAACCTTAGTGTCCATCAACTGATGAGTAGATAAAGAAAAAAAATACACACACACACACACACACATACACACATACACACACGCACACTATGGAATACTACTCAGCCATAAAAAAGAATGACATTATGTCTTTCACAGCAACTTGGATGGAATTGGAGGCCATTATTCTAAGTGAAGTAACCCAGGAACAAAAAACTAAATACTGCATGTTCTCACTTATAAGTGGGAGCTAAGCAATGGATATACATGGTCGTACAGAGTGACATAATGGACATTGGAGATTCAGAAAGGGGAGGGTGGGAGGACGGTGGGGGATGAAAAATTACCTGTTGGACACAATGTACACTACTCAGGTGATGGGTAAATTAAAATCCTAGATTTCCCCACTATGTAATTCATCTGTGTAACAAAAATCTCACTCATACCTCCTTAATCTGCTTAAATAAAAAATGATAAAAAAATAATATGACAGAAGAAGGGATGGTGTTTGACCAGTTTCCTCCTTGCTCTCTTTCTTGTGTCACTTACTGTGGAGGAAGCTAAGTGCCATGTCTTGAGGGTACTTAAGCAGCCCTTCGAAGAGAGGACCACATGGAGAAGAACTGAGGCCTGCAGCCAATAGCGGTATGAGTGAGTCTTCTTAGAAGCAGATCCTTCAGTGCCAGCCAAGCCTTTAGCTGACTGCAGCCATGGCCAACATCTCAAATGGAATCTTATTAAAGACCTTGACCCAGAACCATGCGACTAAGCCTCTCCCCAATTCCTGGTACACAGAAACTGTGAGATATAAATGTTTTTGTTTTAAGCCACTGTATTTGGGAGTGATTTGTCACACATCAAAAACTGGTAATATTGGGACAAATAAGGAGGTAGTCACAAAATACTGGAGTGACATTCCATCGTTGTTGTTATCATTGCATTCATTGTGGGGTGGATGTATACCGGAAATCGAGCAGCTAACAGCATTTTATGCATTATATCACTTAATCATCACAATTCTAGAAAGTATGCACTATTAATATTCTCTTTATTAGGTTAAGAAATTGATGCACAGAGAGGTTAAGCAACTCATCCAAGGTTACACAGTAAGAGGTGAGGCAGAGAGGTAAACCCAGGTTATTAAACTTAGAG